TATGCAGGGGAGGGCAACTGTGCAAACTGCGGAAAAGACCGTGTGATATATATATATATTGATGATATTATATGACTCAACTGTGATTATACATTTAGAGATGTGCACACCGTATAATGCCCTGATACGCTGTGTATGTATGATATATATAGTTGTTCCCATGTGGGCAACAAAACCACCCACTGGGCAGCGCCGCTGCGAACGGCTCGTTCCCTTCGCCCCCGAGGAAGCGCGCGGTCGCGGAGTTCGCGGTCTTTGGCCGGCGACGGCGCTTCTTTCAGCTTTGGCGCGAAGCGCGCCGGTGCCGTGCGCTGGATGCGGGAGTCTGGCAGAGAGCAGGTGGGGCGATGTTTCTTCGGAAGGTTTGCTGCAGGGAGGCGGGAGGGAAGATGGAAGATGCACCTGGGAGAGGGGACACCAGGAGGTTGAAGGTGCAGTCTGAACATGTGGTTTAGAGGAGGTTCTAGGTATGTAGGAAAGCTTTCATCGATCGCCGGATGTGCCCCTCATCGCTCTGACGCTCTAGAGTTTCTCGCGGTCATGATGAAAATCCCAGACTGGTACTTGAGCATTCCTCCACCTGGACCCCTTCAACCAATGTCCATCCTCCACCCTTCGAGGTCTCTTCGTTTTGGGGTGTCCAATTCACCATCCCAAGAGGCAGATGGTGGAGCCGGCTTCGTAGACTGTTTTGCAGTAGCAGTGAACACTTCGTCTTGGTCCAGACCGGCGGCCCAGGGCAGCATGGCAGCCGCTGGTACGGGGCACGTGGACACCCGTCGATCCTTTGGTTCTTTTCCACTTGGCCGTCCCTCCAGCAACGTGGAACAATGACTGGAAAGACCATTGTCCTTTACAAACAGGGGGTCGCAAGGGGTGAGCTCCACTTCCGTGTTTGTTGGAGGGAGGCTGTTGTTTCACACCATGTCTTCCATGTCTTCCGCACCTGGGACGAGGCCGCTCCCGCCGCGGCGCGCCGTGGCGCCTTTGGATGGCCTGGCGCTGCTTTGCGCGCGGCCGGCGGCGCACGGCCGAGCAGGGCCGGCAGGTGGGTGGACACTGCAGACTTCGGAGGATGCACAGTGGTTGTAGTTCACCGGAGGCCGTGGAGCAACATAGAATGGGCATCCCATGGCATCCCTTGTTGCAAGGAAAGACCGGTCCATTCCAAGTCCAAGTGACGTTGTTGTGGTGGGCATGGTAGGTGTCTTCATACAGGAGGAGACCATGGTGCGGTTTTGAAATCCATGTTCCAGTTCCAACATGTTCCAACTGCTTCTTTTTGTCAGGTTCGGTTTGGATGTTCAATGTCTTTGATCCACCCCTTTAGCCTGCCCACACTACTAACAGTAGTGTTGCCCTAGTCGATGAAATCAGGAACTCACGAAGAGTTCTACAAAGATCACTGCTTCTTTGTTTCCCCACCTTTTAGGACATCCGTTTTGGAAGGTGCAATCTCTGCGCGGCGGCACCTGGCTGCTGCAGCGGCACCTGGCGCGCTGGCGAATGGCCGCGGCGGGCCGCTGGCAGTGCCAGCGGCGCCGAGAGCGAAGGACGACCGGGCTGGTGGGCCCTCAGGGCCTCCCCAAACCTGAGGAGTGAGGAGGTACTTGGAGCCCTAAAGATGGTTTGACGAATCAAGGGCCATTCCTGTAGAATGGTCGGTTCCTGTCAAGGACGCGGCTCCTGCTGCACGCGTGGCGCCGCTGGGTGACCTCCGCGAGGCAGCTGGAGGCGTGGGTGTGGGCGAGGGTGTGGGGGAGGCGGGTGAGACGAAGCAATGAGCAGGTCTTTCACTCAGAGCTCCTGCCAAGAGAGGCTAAGTGACCTTGTAGGACCCTACTGGGGTACCTATGGGATACTGTAGTCTATAGGGTTCTTGTGAGATAGAAGGATTGCTTTGCCTCTTTGCTGATCTCTTTTCGGGCGGGAGGTGTGCGCCTGGTTGAACTCAACGATCGGGTCCGGTCCTGTTGTTTGGTGCAAGGTCGTCTTGACGTTCTGGTCTTGCATCAAGGTCTGGCCTGACCTGAAAGGATGCACTTGATACCCCTGGATCCTTTGGATCACTGGATCACCTCTTTGAGTAGCTCTTCGTACGACGACCGGTGGGGCGAAGGCGAAACGGACGACGAATGCGGGGCAGTTGTGGGAGGTAGACATGTCGAAGTGTGATGCCGGGCCTTTAGTAATGGTCGTCTGTCGGCCCCACTGCCCACTCACCAGCGGGTTCCTTTGCGAAGCGCTCTTTTTGGACCCAATTCTTCGCATCGAGCCGGTTCCAGACTGGTCCAATCTTATTGTCATTTTCAGGTGTCCGAGTTCTCCCTGCCCTTCGGCTAGCAGTCTTTGTGTTGTCAGGAGGGCCCTTCGGTTCCAGCCCCCGCTCGCCTTGTCAGGGGATGCTTTCGCACCGCGTGGTGCTGCAAGAGGGAAGTGGCCTCGAAGCAATGGAATCGGTGTGCACCGGGTGGACTCTGGGTGGACTCCAGGATCCCATCTCATGGCGAGCGCGAGTGCGATCCCGAGTTCCAGGAATGATCTCCTCCTTCCAGGGAGCCAGGTTAGTAGATAGATTAGATTAGATAGCAGAGAGCGGGTCCCGCACATGGGGTATTCTTTTCTTGGGAATGGTGTGGGGTGTCGAAGATGGTTGAGGTTGGGCAACAACTCCTCAACAGGACAGTTTGCCCATAACCTCGGGATTTCTTGAGAGAAGAGAACTTCTCCTTTCCCACAGCCTGCGATGCCTTTCTTGTGGGATTCCTGAGTGCGGGGTTGCCCAGCTCTGGTGCATCCCTCACCTTCGGGTCACCGCTTGGGGCTACGGAGGCCGTGAGGCCACGTGGTTCGCCCCCCGAGGACTCTTGCAGCGAACCCTGCAGCGGTGGCAGTGGGAGGTCCGTAGCCGCGCCACGCGGTCGGCATGTGGTGGTGCGGGTGGGGCCCGTGGGGTCGAAGGCGCAGGAGGACCATATGGTCACCTCCTAGGACAGGTCCGCAGCAGTGGTATGGTTCGGGATTTGCCCATTTGGTTCTTCTTGTGATCTCTTTGTGCCAATGCAGATCCGGTGGATCGCGGATGTTAAAGCAATTCCTTGGGATACGATTTGGGTTCCTTGCGTTTGACCATGAGCCGAGGTGTAGTGAAATTCCTCTCCACTAGTCAAATCACCTGCGCCCCCCGAAGCCTCCCCAATCCGTAAGCCTCTGGTTGGGGAGTCGCGTTTTTAGACGCCAAAGGTCGTGGCGCACTCCACCCGCTGCAGGTCGTGGCTCGAGGCATCCAAGCGAAGCGGCGGCACCTGTGGAAGATCTCCTTGCTGTCTGCGTGCGGGGCCAGTAGCAGAGGGGGGTGGCGGAGGGGCTTCCCCAAGCTGGTGAAGAAGGAAGGTCACCTTTTGTGAGGTGCCAAGCATGGGGTAGGCCTCCTACTCATTGGCACGGCTGGTGACCCTTTGGTTGTTGTTTTGGAGTGGACATGGTTGAGGGATGTTCATGACGATGCTGCGCAGTTGGCCAAGCATCCCTTGGAGCACCAGGCATTCCTTGTCGTTTGGCCGCTCGCTCTGACCTGATGTCGTGGGGTGATGTGGGGTGGGGGGTCGCGAAAAAAAGCAGTCGACGGGACCAGCAAGAAGCTACTAGGGGCTCCCTACTAGGAGCAAGGACGCTACGAACGGGGCTCCTGGCCGTACTACTCGGAGCAAGTAGCTACTAGTAACGACATTACTTTGTCCTCCAGTGATCTACGAGCCCCGGAGACCCCGCAGCATCGCAGGTGGCGCGAGGAGTGCCAGCGGCTTCAGCTGCTCCGAGCTGCTTCGGCACGGCAAAGCGGGATCGGAGGGTTCTCCTCAAAGCAAAATGGGTAGCGCCAAAAGAAGTTCAAACCATTTGGTGTGTGGGTGTCACTGTCTGCGTCTTTCGTCACATTTGTTCCACCACCGGGGGCTGTGTGCAGGTTTCAAAGGGATCTATTCCAGCAAGGCACGCCGAATCCACATCTGTTCTGGAGATGACTCTGGGTTTCGACACAGCTTTTCAGACCTTGAAACGCTCGGTCGTTTCAGGGAATTCGTTGCTTGGCCCACGTCTTAGACCTATGCTCCCAGACCCGTGCATCACCGGCTTAGCCGCTTCGCCATGGGTTTTTTATGTTCTTTCCGCTGGATCTCGGTGGCCGGGCGCCGATCGGTGTGGCACACGTCGGTGTCCAACAGGGCTTTTGAACCTCAACCATCCGTTCGGAAGGAGAATGCACTTTTGAATACAACATGGTCTGCAGAAGGCAGTTTTCAAGTCAAAACGTTCTACAGAAGCACACAGAAGCACACAGTGGCGCCAGTTTTGAAGTGTGGCTGGAACTCCCGTCCAGTGGGGCCCGGTGTGCGAAACTCACGCCGCGAGGTCGTGTGGACCTGTTGGCTTCGGCACCGGCAGCAGGAGCGTCACGGCTCCTGGGCACGGCAGTGGGAGAATCGACGGGCACCTGGAACATCAGCAATGCAAACTGCTATGTAAAGAAAACACTAGGTGTGTGCCAACAGTTGCCCTCCCCAACCAGTGCCTTTTTAGACCTGACTTGCGTGTGTGTTTTTCAGCTTGCGTGGTGCCGGAGTTGGGTTGAAATCAGCCTCACTTCAAGCCTAGCGGCCCTAGCGTCTCTCTGCAGGTGTTGCTGAGCTGAATTTAGCAGTCGAGAGGGATTTGTGCCTGAAAGGCGGATGGCTTCCAGAGATTCGGTGTGAGAGCTAAACGTCTGCCCTCCAAAGGACTGAAGCAGCATGTTCATAACATAGAGAAAACTGCACGTGCCTCACGTGCTGCCTCACGTGCCCTGTCTGCCGCCGGGGCGGTGCCAACCAGAAGCATCAAGTTGTTCTTTCAAGGTATTTCCAACACTGAATAATTAGCAGGTTTCTATCTATTAGTAGCTTCATGTGTGGGGCCCTGAGGCCGTGCCTTGCGCGTGTTGGGGCCCTTCATGGCAGCCTGGCGTGGCCACGGCCATGCGCGCGAGGGGCTGCGGCGCAGGGCTGCGGAGCATTTGCTCCAGTGGCCTGACTGTCGATGGGCACTGAGGATCCGTGCGGACCATCAAGGGTGCACGTTGGCAGTTCGCATGCCTCTCAGGGTGCGCAGAAAGCGAATGGATTGAAGCGCCGTTGTGGCCACATGACGAATTGTTAGCACTTTATCACTTGGGGGGCTGGCAGTCTTGCAGGTGATGATCGGTGGTGCGATATGGGAGCAACTCGTGACGCCTGACACCCCTTGTTGCTGTGGAGGGTTTACTCCCGTTGCCAAGTTTTCTTTGTTTGTGGGTTCCTGACTTGTGTGGTTGCTCCTCATTGAGGGGCCTACTGATCGAACATCCCCACTTTCCATCCAGCACAAGCTTGGGTGGCTCATCTCCATGCGGGTCTACCGGTCGACCCATGCAGACTTCGACACATCCTTTCGGTTCCGCCAGGGCTCTTGCCAAGACCAGAGAGCAGCTGCGAGATTTGGCTGCTTGGGTTCTTCGGAGCTTCCTTGAAAGGAAGCTGACAGGGTCTTCCAAACACTTGCAGTCACATGAGGTTTGGAAGTTGTCCCCTACCCATCACGGCTTCATTGATGACCTATCAGGGGTGGCGGACACATGTGAGTCCCGTGACGGGGGCAAGTCAAGTCAAGGCCTGGCGATCCTTGGGAGGTCTATGCCGGTGATCGCCATGGGACTTACGGGCCGAGAGACGTTGACGGGGGTGAGAAGCACCCAGAGCCATTGAAACGGCATGTGATGCGGCATGTGTTGGGGGACCCTCCTATTACCTGTATATATATATATATAGAGCCGTCGGTCAACAAGAACTTCGCTATTTTAGGGATCAAGGCCTAGCAACCAGGCCCCATCAATCGACCCATAGGATCCACGGACACGCGCGGCGAGCGGCCTCCGTGTGCTGATGCGGAGGTCCAGGACTCCCAGGTTGGTCCGTTGCTCCGGTTATGCCGAAAAAGACCCTGTCAACGGACACCCCCGCAAATGCTGAGCATACAGGGGTCCCTCTTGGGAACTTGGACGGCCCATGTTCCGAAGACTAACACCGGGGGGCTTTCCACTTTCCATTTGAGTTCAAGGGAGTGCATCTCCCAGACACCCTGTCTGGGACTGCCATTTATGCCAATCAATTGACCCCCAGTCAACCACCCCTGGCCGTTTCTTGGCAGTCCGGACTGGCAGTCCCATGGAGTGTTTGGGTTTGACACTGGCAGATGACCAGATCCGTGGCTCGCTTTGAGGCCTTTGTCCTCTGGGCCCAGCGCACAGCGCGTGCCGCCGAGCAGCGGGGTCAGCTTTGGCACCTGGAGGCGCAGCGAAGTGCAGGCGCAGCCATCGTTCATCAGTGCATCAGTGGCGCGTTCCCCCAAAAATTATGAACCAAAGAGAGAGAGAGAGAGAGAGAGCCAGGCGTGCTCCAAGACGTGTCAAACTTTTCTTCCAGGGACGGATGTGCTCACGAGGATCCAGGATCCGGGGATTCCAAGCGGCCAGACGCACCACGGGCTCCCGGGCCCGTCCGAAGGGCTCGAGGGCTCGGCGTGGCACCGATGTCGGACGTCCAAAGGCATGTCCGACGAACGTGGTCGCTAACTAGCAGCTTCTTGTGACTAGTAGTGATGGCCTCCAACCAATTAGCCATGGCCTCCACCTAGTTAGTTACTGTAGTAGCTTCTTGCTATTAGTAGCACACATCAACGGCTTCAGTCGCAGGCGTGCTGAAGCATTGCTTGAGATGTTGGCTTCATGTGTTGAGAGCTCACCAGGGCGAGCGGCGTTCCTCGGCCCACTTGGGACCTCGGTGAAGTGCGTCCTTAGCCCAAACGGCTAAGGACGAAGGCTTCTTGGGAAGTCTTAGTGGCCGTGGTCTTCAGGTTCAGGTCTGTCCGCGGAGCGAACAGACCTCCAGAGAATCCCTTGTTCAACAAGCTCGACCCCTTCATGTTCCTCCCCAAAGCTCCGAACGTTGGATCCACCAGGTTCTCCAGGTTCTCCAGGTCTCCTAGGTTCGCCGGATGTGTGGGGTCGCTGGTTCGCATGTGGTATTTAGATGGTCTTTGGCTGCACTGCATAGTTGCCTCCTTGCTGACCTGGATTCACCACAGTCTTCCAGCCTCAGGGGCTCAAAAACCACAGTCCGATGGCCCTCAGGTCGGGCCAAGGATGCCTTGCTGGCCTGCGCCCGTGGATGGCGCACCCTGACCGAGCATGGCCTGCACTCCAGGTGTGTGAGAAATGGCATGGGTGCGGTGGTGGGGTATGGCACCTGGTAGTTGGGCGCCTGGTTTTGTTGGCGAGGCCTAGTGAGTTTAGTACTGCCAGGTAGTGTTCGGAGAGAAGGCTCGAAGTTACTAGAATCACAAGAGGGGCTTCGCAAAAAAGCCCCCACATTTGAGGTTAGGTCATGCAAAGGTCCAATACTGAGGGCGCTAGATGCATTTCAAGATGCTGGCGCTGGACCTCGGTTTATGTTACTTGACTCTGGAGTGTGTACCAGCGGCAGTTCAAGTCAGTTTCCCACCATCCAATTTTCATGAGTGACACCTCCATTTTTCCTGTGGTTTGAGCTACCCCGGAGGATTTGAAGCTCCTCCGTAAAAGTGACCATTTCCGCAGGCGATCGGAGCGCGCTGTGGTGGCTTGGCGGTTTCTCCTACTGGATTTGCTGGAGTATGCTCGCCCGGCCCGTGCGTAGCAACTGATGCTCTCTATTTTGCAGCTCGACTGACTCGGATTCATATAGTTGTAGTTGCAGCATGCGAACACCGAAACAGCCCAGCGAACCAAGCATGTCGAAGGTCGGGCCAGAACCAACCTGAGCGGCGACGAAAAAGCCCGCCGCCGAATCGACCGGCCCCACTCGATCGCTGTGTGCGGTCGGCATCCGGCCTGTCTTGAATTGGTTTCGCTGCCCAAAACGTGGGCGGTCTGCACCCTTGGGCAGGAGGGCAGCGGCCAGTGAGGTCAATGTGGGTCAAGAGCTTGGCAAGTGAACATGCCTCTCAAGTGGTGGATCAAAGCTGAGGTGTAATTTACGGGGGTTTACTTTGAAGACTGGTGGAGGTTTATCCAGTGGTTTCTTCGTTGTTGCACAGCTGAAGTCGTGGCGAACGTTCGTGCCGTCGAAGCATTTTTTACTGCCGACTCCCGGATGTCAATCAGGAGTGCTTCCAAGAGCTTTTCTTGTTCTCCATACATGTTGCTTTCAGATGTTTAAGTTCTCAGTGGCCCCGGCCTCCCTCCGGCTAGAATTCGCGACCGCTCCGCTCCAAGCGGCTGGTCCCCGTGCGCAGCGCACGAGAAAGGCAGGAGAGTCAGTCAAGTCCGTCGTTCAAAGGCACCTCTCTTTCGGCAGACGCTGATTGCAAAAACCTCCACAAAAGGGTGGAGACTTTGGATTTGGCGTTTGGGGACGCTCTCGGGCTCTTGAACCCCAAAGCTGAAGGTATTTTTGGAAGCAAGAACGCTGCATGCCTGGTGACGCCTTTGAAGCGTTCTGCAGAGCGGGGTCAAGAACAGATCGGCCCATCCGACCGAACAGACCTTCCGAGCGTCCTTTGGCCGGGTTTTGGGCTCAATCCAGGCGTTTCACTCCGTTTCACTCAGAAGTCCTGACGTATCTGCGGGGGCCTGACACTGGCCTCTTTTCGGCCGCACGGCTTGATGGGGAGAGAGAGAGAGAGAGAGAGCAAGTACTTCAAGGAACTAACGGAAGTTGAGCGTGAAATGACTTGAATTATCTCAAAACACATTTGGCCATTCCAGAACCTCTAGCTTTCTTGATGTCTTGTCAACCACTGCTTGCTGAGGCTATGGGGCGTTTCATGACCTCCCGCGCACGTGGAACTGCTGCGCGCGAGCCAGGACCTCTCGCTTCAGAGAAACGTTGGGGTCCCAGTCGTTGCTGTTTTTGGATGTTTTTGGCTTATCCCTTGGTATCGGCTAGCTGCGAGGCGTGCACGCTGCATCATTTGTCACCGCACATTCTTTGGTACTGGTACTAGATAGGAGATCTGAGGACAACCTACATATTGTAGCGAGGATTGAGGATCCGGATGTTTACGGGACCACAGGCGATTGCAGGCAGTCACAATCCAACTATCAGCAAACTGGACCATTGCACTGAAACGGTGGCTGCCAACGACCGCATGCATCATTGAGTCAGAACATTTGGATGTAGAGTGCTGGCCGAATATGACTCTCTCATGCGACTGCAGGCTCTTTCCTTTGGGAGCGGTGGAAGCAGCAAAAGTCCGAACGTTTCTTTGCAGAGAGTTGGTGGGAGTCATGGGTGACTGGGACCACCATGGGACTAATATACCAACTTGAGAGCCACAAGTGGCGAACCAGCCTTTCTTCCGGGCACTCCACCAGCCTTTCTTCCGACGGTCGACGGTCGATCTGCGATCTGACCGTTTTCAAAGTGGACCAATCACGAAAGCGATGGCGTTAGCTGGCTGAGTGTGTTGTGTTAGCAAGGGAGGGCCTGAGGTCTGGACACAACCTTTCACTCGCTCCTCCTCCTCGTTTCATCGCACCTCCCACTCAGACAAGTCACCTCTTTGAGTAGGGCATTTGAGAAATGGCCGATACAAGAGAACTGTAAGCTGGCGTTACGCTTTTGGGCATCGCTGCGTCTTCGAACCTCGTTTTTTCGCCTTGACGCACTAACTTGCAACCGATTGTCCTAGCTAACGAAAGCCCCCTTCGACCTCAAGTTCCAGTGGTTCCTAAATCACGCATATAGTATATATATATATGATATTTATATACACGCGTGTATTTGTGGTTGGCGGCCCCTTCGTTTCTACATTGAAGCCACTGTAGGGCGGTATTTTCTTATCTCACCTAAGAACAGCGCTGCGGTGCAAAAAACATTGTACAACCATGTAAAGATGTAGTGTTGAAATGGACATGGACCTTGAAAAACACATTCTACCATCAACACACGCATTTTTTGAAACAGCAAGGATTGGGAGAGGGTGTTATTTTTTTGTGGCTGAATTTTGCGCTTTCTCGATTCCGCCCGTAGGACTGTACTTCAAACATGCATGCCTCAACTACCAAGCCTGGACAAATTGCCCGTGGCAAGTTTGAATGCAGGGCTTGCATCAGGCCCACACTAGTTCTGGCATGCCGCAGAACTGTTGCAGATGAAAGGCGGGCACCAAGAATTCAAGCTCATCGTTCATCGTGCTTACCATGAGTCCATGCAACCGAAAACATAACCTACTTATGTTCATTAAACCGGAGCCCATGAAGCAGCAAGCAGATAGAGAAGAGGCACGGATTTGTTACTCGCACAAAGAAAACAGAGAAGTGACAAGTTACAGTGACGTAAAGGAGCATTGACCACATCATTTGAGTCACTCAGAGAAGGTGCAGTCGTGCTTTCCACGAGCTGCAGTCAAATTCGAGCACACTGAAACACAACGTGAGTAGTAGGTGACCATGCGTACTATTGGGATGCCTATGCAATTTTATGCACCATGTTTACGTGCAATCTCATTGGAATGAATGGATGTACGAAGATAGACCTCTGGCAGACGAATATTAACGCATGGCAAGCATTCAACTTTCGTCATTTGACAAGCCATGTTTGATGAACAAAATATGGTGTGTATTAGACTTTTTCTAGAAGCAAGGGAATTGTTGGGTCTTTGGCATGTGAAGTGCCAGGAAACAATGAAAAGAAAGAGATTGGCGTTTGTGGTTCTTGACCGGGTAGATGAGGTGGTGATGCTAGAGCTGTGGAGATTGAATTGGAAGATGAAGAAGCACCGCTGCGATTTGGCCATTAATTCGGCATCAAATTTGGGCTTGGAGTGTGGTAGGGCAATCACTTGTCATGAAAAGTAGCCTGAGTTCACCTTGCACTTTTGATCACTTTTGCAATAATAATGCATTGAGTGACGCGGAATCATCCGACAATAGTCATGAATTTGGGGCTGTAAGTATGATTCTTCATGATGGGGGACAGCCCTTTGTGACAGCGCCTTTGACCAAGAGAGATGTTTGCATGACATCAGCACAATGTGGAGGCACCACTCCTACCCACTAGCAGCATCACAACAACTACTACACCCACGCAACACAGCCACTCTGCTGCCCGCCACTGCTACCTCTCCTAGTTTGCGTGGTGATAGGTGCACGGAAAGCACAGCCACAACCGCCTACATCACAGAAAAGCAAGGAACTTGATTAAAGTATCACGAGCCGTGAGCCCTCAGCCACAACAGTGCTTCAACGCCGGGTGTCCAATCCCCCCGGTGTCGAAGCTTGACGTAAGAGACTAAGATACAACATACCATCACATCCTCGCCAGGATAATTAGTGGGATGTAAGTGATTGACTATATGATTGTATGGGAACAAGGACGGCGTCCACAGGTTGGATTATCCCTCAATGACGGATGTTTTATTGGCCGCTCTATTCAAGTATTCCTTCAGACAGGTGCAGGAAAAAGATAACAAAGGATTGGGGAATGAGGAAAAAACAAGACACATGAAAAGAATGAAGAGGAAAGCATCCCTGACACGCGGATCGTTATCCCAGTTAAACAAGACATGATTTTGGAGGCTGGGTCGCACTTCCATATGCACAGCACAATGCCATTTAAGACAGGCTGAAACCCTCAGCAGCATCACTGCACAAGCGCCGCCACCAGCATGAGCATCCGTCCGCCAAGCCACTAGCACCGGCATCGGGACCGTACTCGTTCGGCATTACACAGTTGTGGCTTGTTTGTAGCCGCCTCCTGACACTGACGTCACAACCATGCCTAGTGCGCAGTGCGGAGGGAAATCCATTCTTGTTTGACCTTGTGATGCGCCGAAACGTCAGTTTTGCAACTTCAAGCTGCTTGTTCGCTTTCTTTTTGCAGTCATGTCTTCGAAGAGAAGGTTAGCATGGCCACAGTTGAGACACACCAAACACCTGTGACTTCGTTCATGGCTCAAGAAATCGTTCTCAGCGGCTACGTTGTGTTGTGATGCTGAACCCTGACCACCGGTGTACAAACAGGTTATGAGCCCAAGGTGCATCCCATGGCGCTCTCCACAATGAGGCGACGGCAAAAAGCGCCAGCGGATCGTTATGAAGGTGGAGGTGATCGCAGCGGACCGCAGGCTTGACGCCTTGATCGGGAAGGAAGGGAGACGGACCAATTCAGAGGACCCCAGCCCGACAAGGTCGTTGTCAGCGGCAGCAAGTCGATCTGCCGGTGGCCCTCCTACTGTTCTTCGACCTGGTGGAGCGCAAGAACCTGCGCCTGCTGTGTGTGATCGTTCAACTGAGGCCGAAGGTGCAGAAAAATCCATGAAGCCTATTAGAACTTCACAGATGGTGACTTTGGAAAGGGTGCCTGAAGACAATGCGGGCTCTGCGGTTGGCTTGGCGCTCTATATGATGGCGCAGTAGGTCATCATCCTCACGCGCCAGGGCTTTTAGGACATCTTGCGCCTGGCATGGATCCCGCTGTTCCCGGAGGGCTCTTTGGTGGAAGCGGGTGTAGCGCAAACACCTAGGAGACTGGAGGAAGTGCCGTTGAACCCGTTTTGAACCTATTTGGAGCTCTGGGGTTGATCAGAACGAGGCAGTGAGCCACGTCAAGGCTTGGGTGTTGGAGGGGCGATTGTCTTCTACACTGGCTCAGGATGCCATTGGTTCTCTGACGCTTCAGATCATGAGGGAAGCGGAAGAGAGCTTTGAAAGGGAAATGGGAAAAATCAGAGGGGGCAGAGAGGCGGGGGATGCTAAATTGTTCAAGATGGCGTCAAGCGGAAATCGTAGTGGTAGTGCACCGGAACAACATCCTGTACCTCCTCCTGGGCGACCTGCTGGTTTTTGCCCTGAACCGGCGGCCAAGGAACTCAGCTTCCGGGGTTGCACCCTCCTGTCCATCTTGTTGCCTGGCCTTGGGCCATCTCAAACAAGCTACCTCCGTGCTCTCACTCGGCCGTCTCACGCCCGCCACT